TATACTTAAACATGAAAAACAATAAACAAAAACTCAAAAAAAGCTATGTACATAAAACAGTTGAAACCTAACCTGAACAAAATAAACTACGAAATATCCACAAATATTCTTAAATGTCTATAATTGATAACAGAAGCCATTGGTTTATACAAACGGCTTTCCATACTTAATACTTCTCGTTTTCACTCTCACGTGGTCATGCGTGACGTCACGAGCTGTGACGCGATTTTCGCTTCCGCGTCTCCTATAAACGAGTTTGTCGTTGATTTGAAATTTTTCATGTAACAAAAACAGACTATCATTATTGTTTCATCCGTGTATTGTTTGATATATTGAAATGTAATTGTCATCGTTGATAATGACTTATGCAAGCCGAAAGCTTAGATTGAATTTAAACATGTATCAATATGGTGATTTCCCTTCGTCTTTCAATGATAATGTTATTAAGCTTATCAAACATTATGAAAGGAACTTACTTAAAATAAATAGACAAAACTAGTCTATATTATTTAATGAAACATGCATCAATATATATATATATATATATATATATATATATATATATATTATTGTGGCCTGTTACATCAGAACTTGTACGGACCCACTACAAAACTGCACATATTGATTCAGCGTTAAATTAACGTTTCTTCAGGTGGAAAACCATGATGATACTAAACCTGAAGAAACATTAATTTAACTTTGAAACAAGATGTACAGTTTTGTCGTGGATATTTACATGTTCTAATGTAACAGTTCATAATAAATAAATATTTATTGCTCTACTTTTTGTTTTTTTAACGTTGAAATTTTACGCTTCGTTCTTTTTACATTTGTGTATATATATATATATATATATATATATATATATATATATATATATAAATATAAGATAAATGGATGTAGAATTTTACAATACATGTGGCATGGGGCTTAAGTATCGGGGTTTTAGAGAGGGCTTACATAGTAACAATCAGTGACTAATATATTTTAATATTGTTCTTTTCATTAATACGTCAAGTCACTTGTACGACAGAATATCTCAATTTCTCTATGAGGTCATAACTAACTCTGTATGTACATTTCTGGGGGCAGGTTGATAAAATATATTGACTTTGTCATATGAAAAAGTGTTGGCCTATCGCTTAATCCAAAATGCTCACCGGATGCGTTTCACGTGACGTCACTGGCCATTCCTGCTCCTAAATGGAAGATGATAATTAATTCCTGCATTCCAAACTTGGCGAGGGTGGGGATATCAGAAAATAACTGGGTGTGAGTAACAAACAGAACAAAACAAATAAATTATTTATCGTTATAAGATCTGGATTTAATGGAACACCATAACATATACGATTCAGAAAGAATTGTTCTTAGAGTGGCTGTGTGTGGGCAATTCATTCATATGTTGGTCGGTAGAAGAAATAATTGAGATTGGTGAATCATAGCAAAGAAGGAAAGGAAAGTCCTTAGTTAGGTTCAAGGATAGATGAGAGTGTTGTGGCCTGTTTAGGGGTCAGAAAGAAAGACACGGAAGACGAAGGTAGGTTGAACAAGTATATTGAAATAACAGATATATACAAAGCAAGAGTGTTAGTAATAAACAGATAGAGGTGTACGCCCGAACAGTAGGTCAACACTGCGTCTACTCTTTCCAACCCTAACCCGCTTCCCAACCGACTCTTCAAGTTAGTATTTATGAGAGGAGGAAGAGTTCATTCTACTGTAGGAGGGTTTACAGAGAGTAAATCAGAAATTAATGGTAACTTTAAACTTACGTGGTAAAAAGAAGAGATGACGGTTAGCGCAGCATTCCTTCGTTCAATCGAGTGACAGGGAGCAACGAGGACAGGCGTATGGACGCTCCACTCAGCGAGCGACAATATGCCGTAGCGCATTTTCTGTAGTCAGAAAGAGTCAAACTTGTGGGGGGATTCATTGGCAGATGTTGGCGCCGTATGGAGCAAGCACCATGAACCAACAAAAGGTAGAATGCTTTGCAGAGGGAAAAAACAAATGTAACAATGTCTTTGCCCATCAACCAAAGGGTTGACTAAGGACTAAGGAAAACCGAAAAATCAATTGGCAGCAATGGTTGTCATCAGTTATGGATGTGCAAAAGGTAGATTGAACTTGGGATACCGTAATGTTTATGTGCGTTGGGGACCCAAACAAGCAAGCGGTGCAGACGTGGTGTTGTAAACCACCGGAAAGCTTCTATTCGGAAAAGAAGGAGTAGCTCGTTGAATTATACCAGAGCATCGCCGTGCATTGAGACACTTTTGAAAAGTGACATTAGCATTTGTTCTTCATCAGTGTTAATAAATGTGTTGTATGCAAATGTCTTTTACTTCTTGATTAATCTTCGTATAAGAATTGTCCAGATTTATTTGCTCGAATTTTAAATTTTTTTATCTCATTTGGAAGAAAGGCTTTCGGAATTATTGGTCTTTGATGAACTCGAAATTTCAAAGTTGGAAAGTTCAGGTGTTTAGAGAGCACCTGGTTATCAGTGCAGAGCGATTTCAAAGTATGCGAAAAGGAAGCAAATCTGAATTTTCCATGTATTTGGATTTCTTTTCATTCTCTTTTACTCCAAGTAAACTCTTACGTCTTAGTGATATCATCGTCTTGCTTGGGGTGAATTGATAAAAACAAAATGAAAATTCTAACTGAATTCATATTTCCAATTTCATTATGTGCGCGTGTGTGTATTCGTGTGTGTGCCTATGTGTGTTAACTCTAGAGTTGTCATTCTTCCATATTGGTTGTTATCCAAAGCTAGAGATACCTATCTCCTCTACTATTTAATCCACATTTCGTGGGGAAAAGCGACGGATTCATGCCTTTCCCAAGGGTATTTATATGAAAGCAGACACAACTGTCTCAGCTGGAAATCTAAATCGGTACGCCGAACAACTTTAATATACGCTACCGGAGCTGGAATTACCGCGGCTGCTGGCACCAGACTTGCCCTCCGGTTGGTCCTCGTTAACGGATTTGAAGTGTACTCATTCCGATCGCGGGGCCTCGACAGAGTCCCGCGTCGTTATTTTTCGTCACTACCTCCCCGTGCCGGGAGTGGGTAATTTGCGCGCCTGCTGCCTTCCATGGATGTGGTAGCCGTTTCGCATGCTCCCTCCCCGGAATCAAAACCCGATTTCCTATTACCCGTAGTAACCATTTTCCTCACAGATATCAACTACGCTACAATCAGATCCTTTTGTCTCTCTCTCTCTCTCTCTCTCTCTCTCTCTCTCTCTCTGTGTATGTATAGGGATGGTAAAAGATTTGGGACTGATCAAGGTTCAAGTGATTTATATGATAAAAATGAAAGTTTAATTATAAATATAAAATGCGTCCATAGAATTACCTCCCCAACAATACTGTTCAGAAAATAATATTTCTCTTTTATTGCGTTGACTCACAGCATCACAGGTGGGTGTGGGCACGATGTAAGCAGAGGGTGAGCTCTCAGGCTAATAACTGATAATTTATTTTGTTTTTGAAGATAGAGAAGATGTCTGGCAAAATACATTCTGACATGAAATTGCAAACGAAACCATGATGCCTCATTGAATTCCATCATACAGAAAAGTTCCGTCATGCAGAAAAAAATGTCCATTGACATTTCTCGACACTTGCAGAATGTTTATGGAGACCAAACACTGGATGTAAACAGAAGCAACAGTTTCTGTAATAAACATTTTCTCGGCGATTCTACTCATTTGTTTTTTGTTCGCAACTGATGAAAATGCATCGGTAATGTTAATATTACCTTAAAAGGAAAATATTTTGTGACCTCTGAGAGATCATGATGCATCGTCCTCATGTCTATTTTGCAGACGTCCTTGAGGCGAAAATGAGGTCACCCACGCGCTCTCTTGCCGGTAGCCAGTTTCCCGTACAGAAGGACCTTCGGAATCCTCCCATCCGGTATACGGTGTATATGACCAGCTGGCGCCGTTGGAGAAAGGCGGATAGACTGGGTAACCGGGCACGGGTGAGAACTACGGCATCGATGACACGGTTGAACCAATTGATGCTCAGAATGCGTCTCAGACAGCGAAGAAGAAAGGCGCTGAAGTGTGGTTCCTGTGTGGAGTAGATGGTCAAAATCCTTGCCACGGTGCAGTCGATGGGCAGGATTTTTAGGAGAGATCGACGGTTGCGCATGCAGTACGTCTCACCCTCTCCAGGGTACCAATGTTGTCCCCCCAAAAAGGTAGAGTTCAATTCAGTTTGGCACCGGCGTAGTCGAAGGAGTTGCCAGAACATTGAACTGTCTTAGGGACCTCGGCTACGGACATGTCCCCAGGGATTACTCCCGAAGCCTTTCTCGTAAATGGGTAAAGGTCGCAATGCAGAAGAGGTTTAAAATCAGAGTTTTCCTTCTCTTAGATAGGTTACCCTCATTATTAAATCACATGTTAAAATGCTAATATTTCCTTAAAAGAAAAAATTGTACATTCATTTACCAAGCAACTGTCGGTTGAAATTTATAAAACTTTTCTATTTAAATAGTTTTTGAAGAAAATTGGTTTCTCAATTACGAGAGAGAGAGAGAGAGAGAGAGAGAGATAGGAGGGATTGAAAGAGAGTTGGAGGGAGAGAGAGGGTGGTGAGAGGGAGAATGTGAGGGAGAATGGAGACATGGAGAGTGGGGGGAGAGAGTGTGAGAGTGAGTGGGAGGGAGATGGAGAGTTGGGAGATGGAGAGTGGAGAGATGGAGAGTGGGGAGAGAGAGTATGAGAGTGTGAGAGAAGGTATGAACAAAGTTGGATAGAATGGTTAATATATAAAACATTTGCACGTCAGATCAACGCTGCTTTCTCCTATAAGGGGGGACGATAGTTCGAAAACTTGCGAAGAGCACATTTACTCTATGAAGTTTTTTTCTCGAATATAAACAATAAATACAAACGACAAACAAGTTTTCAGCGCATTGAGATTCTCGAACGCAAGGGATACTCACATAGATTTACACATATGCAGAGAAATATTTACACGCACAAAGGAGATACAAAGTAAGAAAGACACAAAAGAGATACAAACTCAAAGAGACGCAAAAGAGATACAAACTCAGAGAGACGCAAAGGAGATACAAACTCAGAGAGACGCAAAGGAGATACAAACTCAGAGAGACGCAAAGGAGATACAAACTCAGAGAGACGCAAAGGAGATACAAACTAAAAGAGACGCCAAGGAGATACAAACTCAAAGAGACGCAAAGGAGATACAAACTAAAAGAGACGCAAAGGAGATACAAACTCAGAGAGACACAAAGGAGATACAAACTCAGAGAGACGCAAAGGAGATACAAACTCAGAGAGACGCAAAGGAGATACCAACTCAGAGAGACGCAAAGGAGATACAAACTCAGAGAGACGCAAAAGAAGATACAAACACAGAGAGGCACAAAGGAGATACAAACTCAGAGAGACACAAAGGAGATACAAACTCAGAGAGACACAAAGGAGATACAAACTCAGAGAGACACAAAAGAGATACAAACTAAAAGAGACACAAAGGAGATACAAACTAAAAGAGACGCCAAGGAGATACAAACTCAGAGAGACGCAAAGGAGATACAAACTCAGAGAGACGCAAAGGAGATACAAACTCAGAGAGACGCAAAAGAAGATACAAACACAGAGAGGCACAAAGGAGATACAAACTCAGAGAGACACAAAGGAGATACAAACTCAGGGAGACACAAAAGAGATACAAACTAAAAGAGACGCAAAGGAGATACAAACTCAAAGAGACACAAAAGAGATACAAACTAAAAGAGACGCAAAGGAGATACAAACTCAGATAGACGCAAAGGAGATACAAACACAGAGAGGCACAAAGGAGATACAAACTCAGAGAGGCACAAAGGAGATACAAACACAGAGAGACACAAAGGAGATACAAACTCAGAGAGACACAAAGGAGATACAAACTCAAAGAGACGCAAAAGAGATACAAACTCAAAGAGAAACAAAAGAGATACAAACTAAAAGAGACGCCAAGGAGATACAAACTCAGAGAGACGCAAAGGAGATACAAACTCAGAGAGACGCAAAAGAAGATACAAATACAGAGAGGCACAAAGGAGATACAAACTCAGAGAGACACAAAGGAGATACAAACTCAGAGAGACACAAAGGAGATACAAACTCAGAGAGACACAAAAGAGATACAAACTAAAAGAGACGCAAAGGAGATACAAACTCAAAGAGACACAAAAGAGATACAAACTAAAAGAGACGCAAAGGAGATACAAACTCAGATAGACGCAAAGGAGATACAAACACAGAGAGGCACAAAGGAGATACAAACTCAGAGAGGCACAAAGGAGATACAAACTCAGAGAGACGCAAAGGAGATACAAACTCAGAGAGACGCAAAAGAAGATACAAACTCAGAGAGACACAAAGGCGATACAAACTCAGAGAGACGCAAAGGAGATACAAACTAAAAGAGACGCAAAGGAGATACAAACTCAGAGAGACACAAATGAGATTCAAACTAAAAGAGACGCAAAGGAGATACAAAATCAAAGAGACGCAAAGGAGATACAAACTCAGGGAGACGCAAAAGAAGATACAAATTCAGAGAGACACAAAGGAGACACAAACTCAGAGAGACGCAAAGGAGATACAAAGTAAAAGAGACGCAAAGGAGATACCAACTCAGAGAGACGCAAAGGAGATACCAACTCAGAGAGACGCAAAGGAGATACAAACTCAGAGAGACACAAAGGAGATACAAACTCAGAGAGACACAAAGGAGATACAAACTAAGAGAGACGCAAAAGAAGATACAAACCCAGACAGACACAAAGGAAATACAAATTCAGAGAGACACAAAGGAGATACAAACTAAAAGAGACGCCAAGGAGATACAAACTCAGAGAGACGCAAAGGAGATACAAACTCAGAGAGACGCAAAGGAGATACAAACTCAGAGAGACACAAAGGAGATAAAAACTCAAGAGACGCAAAGGAGATACAAACCCAGAGAGACGCAAACAAACTCAGAGAGACGCAAAAAGAGATACAAACTAAGAGAGACACAAAGGAGAATACAAATTCAGAGAGACGCAAAAGGAGATACAAACTAAAAAGAGACGCCAAGGAGAGATGCAAACTCAGAGAGAGACGCAAAGGAGATACAAACTCAGAGAGACGCAAAGGAGAGACAAAAGGAGATCAGACTCAGAGACGCAAAGGAGATACAAACACAGAGAGGCACAAAGGAGATACAAACTCAGAGAGACACAAAGGAGATACAAACTCAGAGAGACACAAAGGAGATACAAACTCAGAGAGACAAAAGGAGATACAAAAGAGAGACAAACAAAAAGAGATACAAACTCAAAGAGACGCAAAGGAGATACAAACTCAAAGAGACGCAAAGGAGATACAAACTCAGATAGACGCAAAGGAGATACAAACTCAGAGAGACACAAAGGAGATACAAACTCAGAGAGACACAAAGAGATACAAACTAAGAGAGGCAAAAGAAGATACAAACTCAGAGAGACACAAAGGAGATACAAAATTCAGAGAGACACAAAGGAGATACAAACTAAAAAGAGACACAAAAGAGATACAAACTCAAAAAGACGCAAAGGAGATACAAACTCAGAGAAGAGACAAAAAGGAGATACAAACTACAAAGAGAGAGCAAAAGAAGATACAAACACAAAGAGAGGCACAAAGGAGATACAAACTCAGAGACACAAAGAGATACAAACTCAGAGATACAAAAGAATCAAACTAGAGAGACGCAAAAGAGATACAAACTCAGAGAGACACAAAAGAGATACAAACTCAAAAAGACACAAAGGAGATACAAACTAAAAGAGATGCAAAGGAGATACAAACTCAGAGACGCAAAGAGGAGACACAAAGTAAAAACTCAAAGAGACACAAAGGAGATACAAACTCAAACAAAGAGATACAAACAGAGAGACACAAAGGAGATACAAACTCAAAGAGACACAAAGGAGATACAAACTAAAAAGAGACACAAAGGAGATACAAACTCAAAGAGACGCAAAGGAGATACAAACTCAGATAGACGCAAAGGAGATACAAACTCAGAGAGACACAAAGGAGATACAAACTAAGAGAGACACAAAGGAGATACAAACTCAGAGAGAAAGGAGATACAGAACTCAAACTCAAAGAGAGACAAAAAGAGATAAAGGAAACAAACTAAAAGAGACGCAAAGGAGATACAAACTCAAAGAGACACAAAGAGATACAAACTAAAAGAGACGCAAAGGAGATACAAACTAAAATAGACGCAAAGGAGATACAAACACAGAGAGACACAAAGGAGATACAAACTCAGAGAGAAACAAAGGAGAAACTCAGAAACAAAAAGAGACAAACTCAAAGGAATACACAGAGAGACAAAAATGAGATACAAACTAAAAGAGACACAAAGGAGATACAAACTCAAAGAGACGCAAAAAAGATATAACAAAGACTCAAAAACTCAGACAGACAAAAGGAGATACAAACTCAGATAGACACAAAGGAGATACAAACTCAAGAGAGACACAAAGGAGATGCAAACTCAGAGAGACACAAGGAGATAAATCAGAGAGGCAAAGAGATACAAACTCAGGGAGACGCAAAGGAGATACAAACACAGAGAGACACAAATGAGATACAAACTCAGAGAGACACAAAGGAGATACAAACTCAGAGAGACACAAAGAAAATACAAACTCAGAGAGAGAAAAAGGAGATACAAACTCAAAGAGACACAAAGGAGATACAAACTAAAAGAGAGACACAAAGGAGATACAAACTCAGAGAGACACAAAGAGATTACAAACTAAAAGAGACACAAAGGAGATACAAACTCAGAGAGACAAAGGAGATACAAACTCAGAGAGACACAAAGGTGATACAAACTCAAAGAGAGACAAAGGAGATACAAACTCAGAGAGACGCAAAAAAAGACATAAAAGACAAACTCAGAGAGACACAAAAGAGATACAAACTCAAAAGAGACGCAAAGGAGATACAAACTCAAAGAGACAAAAGAGATACAAACTCAAGAGACGCAAAGGAGATACAAACTCAAAGAGACATAAAAAGATACAAACCAGAGAGACACAAGGAGATACAAAACTCAGAGAGAGATACAAACTAAAAGACACAATACAAACTCAGAGAGACAAAAAGAGAAAGGAGATACAAACTCAGAGAGACAAAAAGAAGATACAAACTCAAGACGCAAAGGGAGATACAAAAGAGAGACACAAAGGAGATACAAACTCAAAGAGAGACGCAAAGGAGATACAAACTCAGAGAGACGCAAATGAGATTCAAAACAAAAGAGAGACGAAAAGAGATACAAACTCAAAGAGACACAAAGGAGATACAAACTCAGAGAGAGACAAAAGAAAAGGAGATACAAACTCAGAGAGACGCAAAAGAAATAAAACTAAAAGAGAGACAAAGAGATACAAACTCAGAGAGACGCAAAGGAGATACAAATTCAAAGAGACGCAAAGGAGATACAAACTCAGAGAGACGCAAAGGAGATACAAAGACAAAGAGAGACACAAAGGAGATACAAACTCAGAGAGACGCAAAGGAGATACAAACTCAGACAGACACAAAAAGAAGAGAAAAAAGAGAGAGACAAAAGGAGATACAAACTCAGAGAGAGGCAAAGGAGATACAAACTCAGAGAGACGCAAAGGAGATACAAACTAAAGAGAAAGGAGATACAATCAAAGGAAAGACACAAACTCAGAGAGACACAAAGGAGATACAAACTCAGAGAGACAAAACAAAAGAGACACTAGAGATACAAACTCAAAGAGACAAAAAGAGATACAAACTAAAAAGAGACAAAAGGGATACAAACTCAGAGAGACGCAAAGGAGATACAAACTCAGAGAGACACAAAGGAGACACAAACTCAAAAGAGACACAAAGGAGATACAAACTCAGAGAGACGCAAAAAGGAGATACAAACTCAAAAGAGACGCAAAGGAGATACAAACTCAGAGAGACACAAAGGAGATACAAACTCAAGAGACACAAAGGAGATACAAACTAAAGAGACAAAAGGAGATACAAACTCAGAGAGACACAAAGGAGATACAAACTAAAAAGAGAGATACAAAATCAAAGAGAAAGAGATACAAACTCAGAGAGACACAAAGAAGATACAAAACTAAGAGAGACACAAAGGAGATACAAACTCAAAGAGACGCAAAGGAGATACAAACTCAGAGAGAGACGCAAAGAGAGATACCAAACTCAGAGAGACACAAAGGAGATACAAACTCAGAGAGACACAAAGGAGATACAAACTCAAAAAAAGACGCAAACTAAGGAGACGCAAACTCAAAGAGACACAAAGGGAGATACAAATTCAAAGAGACGCAAAGAGATAAAAGACAGAGAGATACAAACTCAAAGAGACGCAAAGGAGATACAAACTCAGAGAGACACAAAGGAGATACAAACTCAGAGAGACACAAAGGAGACACAAACACAGAGAGACACAAAGAGACAAAAAGACAAAGGAGATACAAACTCAGAGAGACACAAAGGAAAATACAAACTAAAAGAGACACAAAGGAGATACAAACTCAAAGAGACACAAAGGAAGACGCAGATACAAACTCAAAAGAGACACAAAGGAGATACAAACTCAGAGAGAGACAAAAGAACAAACTCAGAGAGACACAAAGGAGATACAAAATAAAAGAGAGACAAAGGAAATAAAACTAGGAGACACAAAGAAGACATACAAACACAAGGGAGACAAAAAAGAGACGCCAAGGAGATACAAACTCAGAGAGACGCAAAGTAGATACAAACTCAGAGAGAGACGCAAAGGAGATAAAAACTCAGAGAGACAAAAGGAGATACAAACCAAAGAGACACAAAGGAGATACAAACTCAGAGAGACACAAAGGAGATACAAACTCAGAGACACAAAGGAGATACAAACTCAAAGAGAGACAAAAGAAGATACAAACTCAGAGAGACACAAAGGAGATACAAACTCAGAGAGACACAAAGGAGATACAAACTCAGAGAGAGACAAAGAAGATACAAACAAAGAGAGACAGATACAAAGGAGATACAAAACTCAAGAGGGACACAAAGAGACAAACAGGAGAGACACAAAGGGAGATACAAACTCAGAGAGACTAAAGAGATACAAGACAAAAGAGATACAAAACAAAGAGACGCAAAGGAGATACAAACTCAGAGAGACACAAGGAGACAAAGCAAAAGAGACAGAGAGACGCAAAGGAGATACAAACTCAGAGAGACACAAAGATACAAACACAGAGAGACATAAAACTCAAAGAGAGAGACACAAAGGAGATACAAACTCAGAGAGACACAAAAAGAGATACAAAACTCAAAGAGACGCAAAGGAGATACAAACTCAAGAGAGACAGAAAAGAGATAAAACTCAAAGAGACGCAAAGGAGATACAAAAAGAGAGACGCAAAGGAGATACAAACTCAGAGAGACACAAAGGAGATACAAACTCAAAAAAAGAGAGACACAAAGGAGATACAAACTCAGAGAGACACAAAGGAGATACAAACTCAAGAGACACAAAAGGAGATACAAACAAAAAGACGCAAAGGAGACAAAAAACTCAGAGAGAAACAAAAGAGATACAAACTAAAAAGAGACGCAAACTCAGAGAGACAAAAGGAGATACAAACCAGAGAGACACAAAGGAGATACAAAAACAAAGAGACGCACAAAGAGATACAAACACAAAGAGACACAAAGGAGATACAAACTCAAAGAGACACAAAGGAGATACAAAACTCAGAGAGACACAAAAGAGATACAAACTCAAAAGAGACAAAGGAGATACAAACTCAAAGAGACACAAAGGAGATACAAACTAAAAGAGACGCAAAGGAGATACAAACTCAGAGAGACACAAAGAAGATACAAACAAAAGAGACAAACAAAAAAAGGGAGATACAAAGACACAAAGAGACGCAAAGGAGATACAAAGTACAAACTAAGAGACGCAAAGGAGATACAAACTCAGAGAGACACAAATGAGATACAAACTAAAAGAGACGCAAAGGAGATACAAACTCAAAGAGACGCAAAGGAGATACAAACTCAGAGAGACGCAAAAGTAGATACAAACTCAGAGAGACACAAAGGAAATAAAAACTCAGAGAGAGACAAAGGAGATACAAACTAAAAGAGACGCCAAGATGATACAAATTCAAAGAGACGCAAAGGAGATACAAACTCAGAGAGACACAAAGAAAACAAATTCAAAGAGACACAAAATGAGATACAAACTCAAAGAGACACGAAAAGGAGATACAAACTCAAAGAGACGCAAAGGAGATACAAACTCAAAGAGACAAAGGGAGATACAAACTAAGAGAGACACAAAGGAGATACAAACTAAAAAGAGACAAGACAAAAAGATACAAACTCAGAGAGACACAAAAAGGGAGACACAAACAAACTAAAGAGACACAAAGGAGATACAAACTCAGAGAGACACAAAAGAGATACAAAACTAAAACAGACGCAAAGGAGATACAAACTCAAAGAGACACAAAAGGAGATACAAACTCAGAGAGACGCAAAGGAGATACAAACTCAAAGGACACAAAGAGACAGGAGACACAAACTAAAAGAGACACAAAGGAGATACAAACTCAAAGAGACGGAAAAGGAGATACAAACTCAGAGAGAGACACAAAAAGAGATACAAACTCAAAGAGACGCAAAGGAGAAACTCAACTCAGAGAGATACAAAGTAGATACAAACTAAAAGAGACACAAAGGAGATACAAATTCAGAGAGACACAAAAGGAGATACAAACTCAGAGAGACACAAAAGGATTCAAAGAGAGACGCAAAGGAGATACAAAGTAAAAGAGACGCAAAGTAGATACAAACTCAGAGAGACACAAAGGAGATACAAACTCAGAGAGACACAAAGGAGATACAAACTAAAAGAGACACAAAGGAGATACAAACTCAGAGAGACACAAAGGAGATACAAACTCAGAGAGACGCAAAGGAGATACAAACTCAGAGAGACGCAAAGGAGATACAAACTCAAAGAGACACAAAGTGATACAAACTCAAAAAGAGACAAAAAGAGATACAAAATCAGAGAGACACAAAGGAGATACAAACCAGAGAGACACAAAGGAGATACAAACTCAGAGAGACACAAAGGAGATACAAACAAAAGACACAAAAGAGATACAAACTCAAGAGACACAAAAGGAGATACAAACTCAAAGAGACGCAAAGGAGATACAAACTCATAGAGACACAAAAGAGATACAAACTCAGAGAGACGCAAAGGAGATACAAACTCAGAGAGACACAAAAGGAGATACAAACTCAAAGAGACGCAAAGGAGATACAAACTCAGAGAGACACAAAGGAGATACAAACTCAGAGAGACACAAAGGAGATACAAACTCAAAAGAGACACAAAGGAGATACAAACTCAAAGAGACACAAAAGAGATACAAACTAAAAGAGACGTCAAAGAAAGACAAAAAGAGAGGAGATACAAACTCAGAGAGACAAAAGGAGATACAAACTCAGAGAGACACAAAGAAAATACAAACTCAGAGAGACACAAAGGAGATAAAACTCAGAGAGAGACACAAAAGAGATACAAACTAAAAAGAGACGCAAAGAGAGACAAACTAAAAGAGACGCAAAGGAGATACAAACTCAAAGAGACACAAAAGGAGATACAAACTCAAAGAGACACAAAGGAGATACAAACTCAAAGAGACGCAAAGGAGATACAAAACTCAAAGAGGACAAAAGGAGATACAAATTCAGAGAGACACAAAAAGATACAAACTCAAAACGCAAAGGAGAGAGACAAAAAGGAGATACAAACTAAAAAAGACAAAAGAGATACAAACTCAAGAGACACAAAGGAGATACAAACTAAAAGAGACGCAAAGGAGATACAAACTCAAAGACGCAAAAGGAGATACAAACTAAAAGAGACGCAAAGGAGATACAAAACTCAGAGAGAGACAAAGGAGATACAAACTAAAAGAGACAAACAAAGGAGATACAAACTCAGAGAGACACAAAAAGAGATACAAACTCAAAGAGACACAAAAAAGATACAAAACGCAGAGAGACACAAAGAGATACAAACTCAAAGAGACACAAAGGAGATACAAACTCAAAGAGACACAAAGAGATACAAACTCAGAGAGACACAAAGGAGATACAAAACTAAGAGAGACGCAAAGGAGATACAAACTCAGAGAGACACAAAGGAGATACAAACTCAAAGAGACGCAAAGGAGATACAAACAAAGAGAGACACAAAGAGATACAAACTCAAAGAGACGAAAGAAGATACAAACTAAAAAGAGACAAAAGGAGATACAAACTCAGAGAGACACAAAGGAGATACAAACTCAAAAGACACAAAGGAGATACAAACTCAAAGAGACACAAAGGAGATACAAAACTCAGAGAGACACAAAGAAGATAAAATTCAAAGAGACAAACTAAAGAGAGACGCAAAGGAGATACAAACTCAAAAAGAGACACAAAGGAGATACAAACTCAAAGAGACACAAAGGAGATACAAACTCAGAGAGACAAAGGAGGAGACAAAAACTAAAAAAAAGAGACACAAAGGAGATACAAACTCAAAGAGACACAAAGGAGATACAAACTCAGAGAGACGCAAAGAGATACAAACAAGAGGAGATACAAAGGAGACAAAAGAGAGAAACAAAAGAGATACAAAACTCAAAGAGACGCAAAGGGAGATACAAACTAAAGAGACGCAAAAAGAGATACAAAAAACTCAGAGAGACATAAAGGAGATACAAAACTCAGAGAGACACAAAAGGAGATACAAACTAAAGAGACACAAAGGAGATACAAACACAGAGAGACAAAGAGACAAACTAAGAGAGATACAAACTCAAGAGACAAACAAAGGAGATACAAACTCAGAGAGACACAAAAAGAATACAAACTCAAAGAGACACAAAGGAGATACAAACTCAAAAGAGACACAAAGGAGATACAAAACTAAAGAGAGACGCAAAGGAGATAAAACTCAAAGAGACACGCAAAATGAGATACAAACTCAAAGAGACACAAAGAAGATACAAACTCAAGAGACACAAAAGAGACACAAAAGAGAGACAAAGGAGATACAAACTCAAAGAGACACAAAGGAGATACAAACTAAAAGAGACACAAAGGAGATACAAACTCAGAGAGACGCAAAAGAAGATACAAACTCAGAGAGACACAAAGGAGATACAAAACTCAGAGAGACAAAAGGAGATACAAACTAAAAGAGACACAAAGAGATACAAACTAAAAGAGACGCAAAAAGGAGATACAAACTCAAAGAGACACAAAGGAGATACAAACTCAAAGAGACGCAAAGGAGATAAAACTCAAAAGAGACACAAAGGAGATACAAACTAAAAAGAGACAAAAAGAGATACAAACTCAAAGAGACACAAAAGGAGATACAAAACTCAGAGAGAGACAAAAAGAGATACAAACTAAAAGAGACACAAAAGGAGATACAAACTCAAAGAGACACAAAGGAGATACAAACTCAAAGAGACGCAAAGGAGATACAAACTCAAGAGACACAAAAGAGATACAAACTCAAAGAGACACAAACTCAAGATACAAAGGAGAAAAAGAGACGCAAAGAGAGATACAAACTCAGAGAGACACAAAGGAGATACAAACTCAGAGAGACACAAAGGAGATACAAACTAAAGAGACACAAAGGAGATACAAACTCAAAAGAGACAAAAGAGATACAAACTCAAGAGACAAAAAGATACAAACTCAAAGAGACACAAAGGAGATACAAACTCAAAGAGACACAAAGGAGATACAAACTCAAAGAGACACAAAGGAGATACAAACTAAAAGAGACGCAAAAGGAGATACAAACACAGAGAGACACAATGGAGATACAAACTCAAACGAAAGAGATACAAATTCAGAGAGAGACACAAAGGAGAATAAAAAGAGACACAAAGGAGATACAAACTCAAAGAGACACAAAGAGATACAAACTCAAAAGAGACACAAAAGAGATACAAACTCAAAAAGACACAAAGGAGATACAAACTCAGAGAGACACAAAGATACAAACTAAAAAGACACAAAGGAGATACAAACTCAAAAGACGCAAAGGAGATACAAAAAGAGATACAAACTCAAAGAGACACAAAGGAGATACAAACTAAAAAGAGACGCAAAGGAGATACAAACTCAAAGAGACACAAAGGAGATAAAACTCAAAGAGAGACACAAAGGAGATACAAAACTGCAAAAGAGACACAAAAGATGATACAAAACTCAAAGAGACACAAAGGAGATACAAACTCAAAGAGACACAAAGGAGATACAAACTCAAAGAGACGCAAAGGAGATACAAACTAGAAAGAGACAAAAGAGATTCTCAAAAAAGAGACGCAAAGGAGATACAAACTCAGAGAGACAAACAAAGAGACGCAAAGATACAAACTCAAAGAGACACAAAAGAGATAAAACTCAAAAGACAAACAAAAGAGATACAAACTCAAAGAGACACAAAGAGATACAAACTCAAAGAGACACAAAGAAGATACAAACTCAGAGAGACACAAAGGAGATACAAAAGAGAGACTAAAAATACAAAGAGACACAAAGAGATACAAACTCAAAGAGACACAAAGGAGATACAAACTCAAAGACACAAAGGAGATACAAACTCAAAAGAGACACAAAAGGAGATACAAACTAAAAAGAGACGCAAAGGAGATACAAACACAAAGAGACACAAAGGAGATACAAACTCAAAGAGACACAAAGGAGATACAAAAACTCAAAGAGACAAAAGGAGATACAAACTCAGAGAGACACAAAAGAGATACAAACTCAAAGAGACACAAAAAGAGATACAAAACTCAAAGAGACACAAAAGAGATACAAACTCAAAGAGACACAAAGGAGATACAAACAAAAGACACAAAGGAGATACAAACTAAAAGAGACACAAAGGAGATACAAACTAAAAGAGACGCAAAGAGATACAAACTCAAAGAGACACAAAGGAGATACAAACTCAAAGAGACAAAAGAGATACAAAAGAAAAGAGACACAAAGAGATACAAACTCAAAGAGACACAAAAGAGATACAAAACTAAAGAGACACAAAAGAGATAAAACTAAAAGAGACAAAAAGGAGATACAAACTCAAAGAGACACAAAGGAGATAAAACTCAAAGAGACGCAAAGGAGATACAAACTCAAAGAGACACAAAGGAGATACAAAAAAAAGACGCAAAGGAGATACAAACTAAGACAAAAGAGATACAAACTGGAGACACAAAAGAGATACAAACTAAAAAGAGACACAAAGGAGATACAAACTCAAAGAGACACAAAGGAGATACAAACTCAAAGAGACAAATAAAAGAGATACAAACTAAAGAGACACAAAGGAGATACAAACTCAAGAGAGACACAAAGGAGATACAAACTCAAAGAGACACAAAAGAGATACAAACTCAAAGAGACACAAAAGGAGATACAAACCAACAGAGACACAAAGGAGATACAAACTAAAAAGAGACACAAAGGAGATACAAACTCAAGAGACAAAAGAGATACAAACTCAAAGAGACACAAAGGAGATACAAAACTCAAAGAGACACAAAAGGAGATACAAACTCAGAGCGACACAAAGGAGATACAAACTCAAAGAGACACAAAGGAGATACAAACTCAAAAGAGACACAAAAAGAGATACAAACTAAAAAGAGACACAAAGGAGATACAAACTCAAAGAGACACAAAGGAGATACAAACTCAAAGAGACGCAAAGAATACAAACTCAGAGAGACAAAAGAGATACAAACTAAAAAGAGACACAAAAGAGATACAAACTCAAAAGAGACACAAAGGAGATACAAACTAAAAGAGACACAAAGGAGATACAAACTCAAAGAGACGCAAAGGAGATACAAACTCAAAGAGACGCAAAAGGAGATACAAAACAAAAAGACAAACAAAGGAGAGATACAAAACTCAAAGAGACACAAAGGAGATACAAAAATCAAAGAGACGCAAAGGAGATACAAACTCAAAGAGACGCAAAAGGAGATAAAACTCAAAGAGACACAAAGGAGATACAAACTCAAAGAGACACAAAAGGAGATACAAACTCAAAGAGACACAAAGGAGATACAAACTCAGAGAGACACAAAAAGAGATACAAACTAAAAGAGACACAAAGGAGATACAAACTCAAAGAGACACAAAGGAGATACAAACTCAAAAAGACACAAAAGAGATACAAACTCAAAACACAAAGGGAGATACAAAACTCAGAGAGACACAAAGGAGAAACAAAAAAAAAAGAGACACAAAGGAGATACAAAACTCAAAAGAGACACAAAAGAGATACAAACTCAAAGAGACACAAAAGAGAAACAAACTAAAAGAGACACAAAAGAGATACAAACTAAAAGAGACACAAAGGAGATACAAACTCAAAAGAGACACAAAGGAGATACAAACTCAAAGAGACACAAAAGGAGATAAACAAACTCAAAGAGACAAAAAAGAGATACAAACAATCAAAGAGACACAAAGGAGATACAAACTAAAAGAGACACAAAGGAGATACAAACTAAAAGAGACACAAAAGAGATACAAACTCAAAGAGACACAAAAGAGATACAAACAAAAGAGACACAAAGGAGACGAGACAAAAAGGAGATACAAACTCAAAGAGACACAAAGGAGATAAAAACTCAAAGAGACACAAAGGAGATACAAACTCAAAGAGACACAAAGGAGATACAAACTCAAAAGAGACGCAAAGGAGATACAAACTCAAAGAGACACAAAGAGATACAAACTAAAAGAGACACAAAGGAAAACAAACTCAAGAGACACAAAGGAGATACAAACTCAAAGAGACGCAAAAGAAGATACAAACTAAAAGAGACACAAAGGAGACACAAACTCAAAGAGACACAAAGGAGATACAAACTAAAAGACACAAAGGAGATACAAACTCAAAAAGAGACGAAAGGATACAAACTCAAAGAGACGCAAAAGAGAGATACAAACTCAAAGAGACACAAAGGAGATACAAACTCAAAGAGACACAAATGAGATACAAACTAAAAGAGACACAAAGGAGATACAAACTAAAAGAGACACAAAGGAGATACAAACTCAAAGAGACGCAAAGGAGATACAAACTCAAAGAGACACAAAGGAGACACAAAGGAGAAAAAAAACTAAAAGAGACACAAAGGAGATACAAACAAACTAAAAAGGAGAGACAAACTCAAAGAGACAAAAGGAGATACAAACTCAGAGAGACACAAAGGAGATACAAACTCAAAGAGACACAAAGGAGATACAACAAACTCAAAGCGACACAAAGGAGATACAAACTCAGAGAGACACAAAAGAGATACAAACTAAAAGAGACACAAAGGAGATACAAACTCAAAGCGACACAAAGGAGATACAAACTCAAAGCGACACAAAGGAGATACAAAACTCAAAGAGACACAAAGAAGATACAAACTCAAAGAGACACAAAGGAGATACAAACTAAAAAGACACAAGAGATACAAACTCAAAGAGACACAAAGGAGATACAAACTCAAAGAGACAAAGACACAAAGGAGACACAAAACTAAAAGAGACACAAAGGAGATACAAACTCAAAGAGACAAAAGGAGATACAAACTCAAAGAACAAAGGAGATACAAACTAAAAAGAGACACAAAGGAGATACAAACTAAAAAGAGACACAAAGGGAGATACAAACTAAAGAGACACAAAGGAGATACAAACTCAAAGAGACACAAAGGAGATACAAACTCAAAGAGACACAAAGGAGATACAAACTCAAAGAGACACAAAGGAGATACAAACTCAAAGAGACACAAAGAGATACAAACTAAAAGAGACACAAAGGAGATACAAACTCAAAGAGACACAAAGGAGATACAAACTCAAAGAGACACAAAGGAGATACAAACAAAGAGACACAAAGAGATACAAACTCAAAGAGACACAAAGGAGAACAAACTCAGAGAGACACAAAAAGAGATACAAACTCAAAAGAGACACAAAGGAGATACAAATTCAGAGAGACACAAAGGAGACAAACAAAGGACACAAAAGATACAAACTCAAAGAGACACAAAGGAGATACAAACTCAAAGAGACACAAAGGAGATACAAACTCAAAGACACAAAGGAGATACAAACTCAAAGAGACACAAAGGAGATACAAACTCAAAGAGACACAAAGGAGATACAAACTAAGAGAGACACAAAAGATACAAACTCAAAAGAGACACAAAGGAGATACAAACTAAAAAGAGACAAAAGGAGATACAAACTCAAAAGATACAAAAGGAGATACAAACTCAAAGAGACACAAAGGAGATACAAACTCAAAGAGACACAAAGGAGATACAAAACTCAGAGAGACACAAAGGAGATACAAAAACTAAAGAGACACAAAGGAGATACAAACTCAAAAGAGACACAAAGGAGATACAAACTCAAAGAGACACAAAGAGATACAAACTAAAGAGACACAAAGGAGATACAAAACTCAAAGAGACACAAAGGAGATACAAACTAAAAAGCGACACAAAGGAGATACAAACTCAGGGAGACACAAAGGAGATACAAAACCAGAGAGACACAAAAGGAGACACAAACTCAAAGAGACACAAAGGAGAGATACAAACTCAAAGAGACACAAAGGAGATACAAACTCAAAGAAGACACAAAGAGAGACAAAAAGAAGAGAAGACACAAAAGGAGATACAAACTAAAAGAGACACAAAGGAGATACAAAACTAAAAAGAGACACAAAGGAGATACAAAACAAAGAGACACAAAGGAGATAAAACTCAAAGAGACGCAAAGGAGATACAAACTCAAAAGAGACACAAAGGAGATACAAACTCAAAGAGACACAAAGGAGATACAAACTCAAAGAGACACAAAGGAGATACAAACCAAAAGAGACACAAAGAGATACAAACTCAAAGAGACACAAAGGAGATACAAACTAAAAGAGACACAAAGGAGATACAAACTCAAAGAGACACAAAGGAGATACAAACTAAAAGAGACACAAAGGAGATACAAACTCAAAAGAGACACAAAGGAGATACAAACTCAAAGAGACACAAAAGAGATACAAACTCAAAGAGACACAAAGGAGATACAAACTCAAAGAGACACAAAGGAGATACAAACTCAAAAAGAGACACAAAAGAGATACAAAACTAAAAGAGACACAAAGGAGATACAAACTCAAAGCGACACAAAGGAGATACAAACAAAGAGACACAAAGGAGATACAAACTCAAAGAGACACAAAGGAGATACAAACTCAAAGCGACACAAAGGAGATACAAACTCAAAGCGACACAAAGGAGATACAAACTCAAAGCGACACAAAGGAGATACAAACTCAGAGAGACACAAAGGAGATACAAACTAAAAGAGACACAAAGGAGATACAAACTAAAAGAGACACAAAGGAGATACAAACTAAAAGAGACACAAAGGAGATACAAACTCAAAGAGACACAAAGGAGATACAAACTCAAAGAGACACAAAGGAGATACAAACTCAAAGAGACACAAAGGAGATACAAACTAAAAGAGACACAAAGGAGATACAAACTCAGAGAGACACAAAGAGATACAAACTCAAAGAGACACAAAGGAGATACAAAAATCAAAGAGACACAAAGGAGATACAAACTCAAAGAGACACAAAGGAGATACAAACTCAAAGAGACACAAAAGAAATAAAACTCAAAGGACACAAAGGAGATACAAACTCAGGGAGACACAAAAGAGATACAAACTCAAAGAGACACAAAGGAGACACAAACTCAAAGCGACACAAAGGAGATACAAACTCAAAGGACACAAAGGAGATACAAACTCAAAGAGACACAAAAGAGATACAAAACTCAGAGAGACACAAAGGAGATACAAACTAAAAGAGACACAAAGGAGATACAAAACTCAAAGAGACACAAAGGAGATACAAACTCAAAGAGACACAAAGGAGATACAAACTCAAAGAGACACAAAGGAGATACAAACTCAAAGAGACACAAAGGAGATACAACCAAAAGAGACACAAAGGAGATACAAACTCAGAGAGACACAAAGGAGATACAAAACCAAAAGACACACAAAGGAGATACAAACTCAAAGCGACACAAAGGAGATACAAAAAGTCAAAAGACACAAAAGGAGATACAAAACTCAAAGAGACACAAAGGAGACAAACTAAAAGAGACACAAAGGAGATACAAACTAAAAAAAGAGACACAAAGGAGATACAAACCAAAGAGACACAAAGGAGATACAAACTCAAAGAGACACAAAGAAGATACAAACTCAAAGAGACACAAAGGAGATACAAACTCAAAGAGACACAAAAAGAGATACAAACTAAAAAACCCAAAGACACAAAAAGAGATACAAACTCAAAGAGACACAAAGGAGATACAAAACTAAAAAGAGACACAAAGGAGATACAAACTCAGAGAGACACAAAAGAGATACAAACTAAAAGAGACACAAAGGAGATACAAACTAAAAAGAGACACAAAGGAGATACAAACTCAAAGAGACACAAAGGAGATACAAACCAAAGAGACACAAAGAGATACAAACTCAAAGAGACACAAAGAGATACAAAACTAAAAGAGACACAAAGGAGATACAAACTCAAAGAGACACAAAGGAGAGATACAAACTCAAAGAGACACAAAGGAGATACAAACTCAAAGCGACACAAAGGAGAGATAACAAACTCAGGAGACACAAAGAGATACAAACTAAAAACTAAAAGAGACACAAAGGAGATACAAACTCAAAAAGAGACACAAAGGAGATACAAACTAAAGGACACAAAGAAGAACAAAAAGGAGATACAAACTCAAAGACACAAAGGAGATACAAACTCAAAGAGACACAAAGAGATACAAACTAAAAGAGACGCAAAGGAGATACAAAACTCAAGAGACACAAAAGAGATACAAAACTCAGAGAGACAAAAAGAGATACAAAACTAAAAGAGACACAAAGGAGATACAAACTCAAAGAGACACAAAGGAGATACAAACTAAAGAGACACAAAGAGATACAAAACTCAAAGAGACACAAAGGAGATACAAACTAAAAGAGACACAAAGGAGATACAAACTAAAAGAGACACAAAGGAGATACAAACTCAGAGAGACACAAAGGAGATACAAACTCAAAGAGACAACTAAGAGATACAAACTAAAAGAGACACAAAAGAGATACAAACTAAAAGAGACACAAAGGAGATACAAACTAAAAGAGACACAAAGGAGATACAAACTCAAAAGAGACAAAGGAGATACAAACTCAAAGAGACACAAAAGAGAGATACTAAAAGAGACACAAAGAGATTCGAGAAAAGGAGATACAAACTCAAAGAGACACAAAATGAGATACAAACTCAAAGAGACACAAAAGAGATACAAACTAAAAGAGACACAAAGGAGATACAAACTCAAAGAGACACAAAAAGAGATACAAACTAAAAAGAGACACAAAGGAGATACAAACCAAAAGAGACACAAAGGAGATACAAACTCAAAGAGACACAAAGGAGATACAAACTCAGAGACACACAAAAGAGATACAAACTCAAAGAGACACAAAGGAGATACAAACTCAAAAAAGACAAAAGGAGATACAAACTCAGAGAGACACAAAAGAATACAAACTCAAAGAGACACAAAGGAGATACAAACTCAAAGAGAGACACAAAGGAGATACAAACTCAGAGAGACACAAAGAAGATACAAACTAAAAGAGACGCAAAGGAGATACAAACTAAAAGAGACACAAAGGAGATACAAAACTCAAAGAGACACAAAAGAGATACAAACTAAAAAGAGACGCAAAAAAGATACAAACTCAAAGAGACACAAAGGAGATACAAACTCAAAGAGACACAAAGGAGATACAAACTAAAAGAGACACAAAGGAGATACAAACTCAAAAAAGAGACACAAAGGAGATACAAACTCAAAGAGACACAAAGGAGATACAAACTCAAAGAGACACAAAGGAGATACAAACTCAAAGAGACACAAAAGAGATAAAAAACAAAAACTCAAAGAGACACAAAGGAGATACAAACTCAAAGAGACACAAAAGGAGATACAAAAAAAGAGACACAAAGGAGATACAAACTCAAAGAGACACAAAGGAGATACAAACTCAAAAGAGACACAAAAGAGATACAAAACTAAAAGAGACACAAAGGAGATAAAACTCAAAGAGACACAAAGGAGATACAAACTAAAAGAGACACAAAGGAGATACAAACTCAGAGAGACACAAAGGAGATACAAACTAAAAGAGACACAAAGGAGATACAAACTCAAAGCGACACAAAGGAGATACAAACTCAAAGCGACACAAAGGAGATACAAACTCAAAGAGACACAAAGGAGATACAAACTAAAAGAGACACAAAGGAGATACAAACTCAAAGAGACACAAAGGAGATACAAACTAAAAGAGACGCAAAGGAGATACAAACTCAAAGAGACACAAAGGAGATACAAACTCAAAGAGACACAAAGGAGATACAAACTCAGAGAGACACAAAAGAGATACAAACTAAAAGAGACACAAAGGAGATACAAACTAAAAGAGACACAAAGGAGATACAAACTCAAAGCGACACAAAGGAGATACAAACTCAAAGAGACACAAAGGAGATACAAACTCAGAGAGACACAAAGGAGATACAAACTAAAAGAGACACAAAGGAGATACAAACTCAAAGAGACACAAAGGAGATACAAACTCAAAAGAGACACAAAGGAGATACAAACTCAAAGAGACACAAAGGAGATACAAACTAAAAGAGACACAAAGGAGATACAAACTCAAAGACACAAAGGAGATACAAACTCAAAGAGACACAAAGGAGATACAAACTCAAAGAGACACAAAGGAGATACAAACTCAAAAGAGACACAAAGGAGATACAAACTCAAAGAGACACAAAGGAGATACAAACTCAAAGAGACAAAAGGAGATACAAACTCAAAGAGACACAAAGGAGATACAAACCAAAAGAGACACAAAGGAGATACAAACTCAAAGAGACACAAAGGAGATACAAACTCAAAAGAGACACAAAGGAGATACAAACTCAAAGAGACACAAAGGAGATACAAACTCAAAGAGACACAAAGGAGATACAAACTCAAAGAGACACAAAAGGAGATACAAACTCAAAGAGACACAAAGGAGAGATAAAACTAAAAAGAGACAAAAGGAGATACAAACTCAAAGAGACACAAAGGAGATACAAACTCAAAGAGACACAAAGGAGATACAAACTCAAAGAGACACAAAAGAGATACAAACTAAAAGAGACACAAAGGAGATACAAACTCAAAGAGACACAAAGGAGATACAAACTAAAAGAGACACAAAGGAGATACAAACTCAAAGAGACACAAAGGAGATACAAACTCAGAGAGACACAAAGAGATACAAACTAAAAAAGACACAAAGGAGATACAAACTAAAAGAGACACAAAGGAGATACAAACTCAAAGAGACACAAAGGAGATACAAACTCAAAGAGACACAAAGGAGATACAAACTCAAAGAGACACAAAGGAGATACAAACTAAAGAGACACAAAGGAGATACAAACTCAAAGAGACACAAAGGAGATACAAACTCAAAGAGACACAAAGGAGATACAAACTCAAAGAGACACAAAGGAGATACAAACTCAAAGAGACACAAAAGAGATACAAACTCAAAGAGACACAAAAGAGATACAAACTCAAAAAAGACACAAAGAGATACAAACTCAAAGGACACAAAAAGATACAAACTCAAAGAGACACAAAGGAGATACAAACTCAGAGAGACACAAAAGAGATACAAACTCAAAAGAGACACAAAGGAGATACAAACTCAAAGGAGACACAAAGGAGATACAAACTAAAAGAGACACAAAGGAGATACAAACTAAAAGAGACACAAAGGAGATACAAACTCAGAGAGACACAAAGGAGATACAAACTAAAAGAGACACAAAGGAGATACAAACTCAAAGCGACACAAAGGAGATACAAACTCAAAGCGACACAAAGGAGATACAAACTCAAAGAGACACAAAGGAGATACAAACTAAAAGAGACACAAAGGAGATACAAACTCAAAGCGACACAAAGGAGATACAAACTCAAAGAGACACAAAGGAGATACAAACTAAAAGAGACACAAAGGAGATACAAACTCAAAGAGACACAAAGGAGATACAAACTAAAAGAGACACAAAGGAGATACAAACTAAAAGAGACACAAAGGAGATACAAACTCAAAGAGACACAATGGAGATACAAACTCAAAGAGACGCAAAGGAGATACAAACTCAGAGAGACACAAAAGAGATACAAACTAAAAGAGACACAAAAGAGATACAAACTAAAAGAGACACAAAGGAGATACAAACTCAAAGCGACACAAAGGAGATACAAACTCAAAGCGACACAAAGGAGATACAAACTCAGAGAGACACAAAAGAGATACAAACTAAAAGAGACACAAAGGAGATACAAACTCAAAGCGACACAAAGGAGATACAAACTCAAAGCGACACAAAGGAGATACAAACTCAAAGAGACACAAAGGAGATACAAACTAACACAAAGGAGATACAAACTCAAAGAGACACAAAAAAGATACAAACTAAAAGGACACAAAGATACAAACTCAAAGAGACACAAAGGAGATACAAACTCAAAGAGACACAAAAAGAGATACAAACTCAAAAGAGACACAAAGGAGATACAAACTAAAAGAGACGCAAAGGAGATACAAACTCAAAGAGACACAAAGGAGATACAAACTCAGAGAGACACAAAGGAGATACAAACTAAAAGAGACACAAAGGAGATACAAACTCAAAGAGACACAAAGGAGATACAAACTCAAAGCGACACAAAGGAGATACAAACTCAAAGAGACACAAAGGAGATACAAACTCAGAGAGACACAAAAAGAGATAAAACTAAAAGAGACACAAAGGAGAGATAAAACTCAAAGAGACACAAAGGAGATACAAACTCAAAGAGACACAAAGGAGATACAAACTCAGAGAGACACAAAGGAGATACAAACTAAAAGAGACACAAAGGAGATACAAACTAAAAGAGACACAAAGGAGATACAAACTCAGAGAGACACAAAGGAGATACAAACTAAAAGAGACACAAAGGAGATACAAACTCAAAGAGACACAAAGGAGATACAAACTCAGAGAGACACAAATGAGATACAAACTAAAAGAGACACAAAGGAGATACAAACTAAAAGAGACACAAAGGAGATACAAACTCAAAGAGAGACAAAAGGAGATACAAAACTAAAAGAGACACAAAGGAGATACAAACTCAAAGAGACACAAAGGAGATACAAACTCAAAGAGACACAAAGGAGATACAAACTCAAAGAGACACAAAGGAGATACAAAACTAAAAGAGACACAAAGGAGATACAAACTCAAAAGAGACACAAAAGGAGATTCAAAAACTAAAAGAGACACAAAGGAGATACAAACTAAAAGAGACACAAAGGAGATACAAACTAAAAGAGACACAAAGGAGATACAAACTCAGAGAGACAAAAAGGAGATAAAACTGGAGACACAAAGGAGATACAAACTCAAAGAGACACAAAGGAGATACAAACTCAGAGAGACACAAAGGAGATACAAACTAAAAGAGACACAAAGGAGATACAAACTAAAAGAGACGCAAAGGAGATACAAACTCAGAGAGACACAAAGGAGATACAAACTAAAAGAGACGCAAAGGAGATACAAACTCAAAGAGACACAAAGGAGATACAAACTCAAAGAGACACAAAGGAGATACAAACTCAGAGAGACACAAAATGAGATACAAACTCAAAAGAGACGCAAAGGAGATACAAAACTAAAAGAGACACAAAGGAGATACAAACTCAAAGAGACACAAATGAGATTCAAACTAAAAGAGACGCAAAGGAGATACAAACTAAAAGAGACACAAAGGAGATACAAACTAAAAGAGACACAAAGGAGATACAAACTCAAAGCGACACAAAAGAGATACAAACTCAAAGCGACACAAAGGAGATACAAACTCAAAGAGACACAAAGGAGATACAAACTCAAAGAGACACAAAGGAGATACAAACTAAAAGAGACGCAAAGGAGATACAAACTCAGAGAGACACAAAGGAGATACAAACCAAAGAGACGCAAAGGAGATACAAACTCAAAGAGACACAAAGGAGATACAAACTCAAAGAGACACAAAGGAGGATACAAACTAAAAGAGACACAAAGGAGATACAAACTCAAAGAGACGACACAAAGGAGATAAACCTCAAAGCGACACAAAGGAGAGACAAACCAAAAGAGACACAAAGGAGATACAAACTCAAAGAGACACAAAGGAGATACAAAAAGTAAAAAGAGACACAAAGGAGATACAAACTCAAAGAGACACAAAGGAGATACAAACTCAAAGAGACACAAAGGAGATACAAACTCAAAGAGACGCAAAGGAGATACAAACTCAAAGAGACACAAAGGAGATACAAACTCAAAAGAGACACAAAGGAGATACAAACTCAAGAGACACAAAGGAGATACAAACTCAGAGAGACACAAAGGAGATACAAAAACTCAAAGAGACACAAAGGAGATACAAACTCAAAGAGACACAAAGAGATACAAACTCAAAGAGACACAAAGGAGATACAAACTCAAAGAGACGCAAAGGAGATACAAACTCAAAGAGACACAAAGGAGATACAAACTCAAAGAGACACAAAGGAGATACAAACTCAAAAGAGACAAAGGAGATACAAACTCAGAGAGACACAAAAAGAGATACAAACTCAAAGAGACACAAAGGAGATACAAACTCAAGAGAGACACAAAGGAGATACAAACTCAAAGAGACACAAAGAAGATACAAACTCAAAGAGACACAAAGGAGATACAAACTCAAAAAGAGACACAAAGGAGATACAAACTCAGAGAGACACAAAGAAGATACAAACTCTCAAAGAGACACAAAGGAGATACAAACTAAAAGAGACACAAAGGAGATACAAACTCAAAGAGACACAAAGGAGATACAAACTCAAAGAGACACAAAGGAGATACAAACTAAAAAGACGAGACACAAAGGAGATACAAACTCAAAGAGACACAAAGGAGATACAAAAGATAAAAGAGACACAAAGGAGATACAAACTAAAAGAGACACAAAGGAGATACAAACTCAAAGAGACACAAAGGAGATACAAACTAAAAGAGACACAAATGAGATAAAACTCAGAGAGACACAAAGGAGATACAAACTCAAAAGAGACACAAAGGAGATACAAACTCAAAGAGACACAAAGGAGATACAAACTCAGAGAGACACAAAAAGAGATACAAACTAAAAAGAGACACAAAGGAGATACAAACTCAAAAAAAGACACAAAGGAGATACAAACTCAAAGAGACACAAAGGAGATACAAACTCAAAAAGACACAAAAGAGATACAAACTAAAAGAGACACAAAGGAGATACAAACTAAAAGAGACACAAAGGAGATACAAACTCAAAGAGACACAAAGGAGATACAAACTCAAAGAGACACAAAGGAGATACAAACTAAAAGAGACACAAAGGAGATATACAAACTAAAAGAGACACAAAGGAGATACAAACTCAAAGAGACACAAAGAGATACAAACTAAAAGAGACGCAAAGGAGATAAAACTCAAAGAGACACAAAAAGAGATACAAACTCAAAGAGACACAAAGGAGATACAAACTAAAAGAGACACAAAAGAGATACAAACTCAAAGAGACACAAAGGAGATACAAACTAAAAGAGACACAAAGGAGATACAAACTCAAAAGAGACACAAAGGAGATACAAACTCAAAGAGACACAAAGGAGATACAAACTAAAAGAGACACAAAGGAGATACAAACTAAAAGAGACACAAAGGAGATACAAACTAAAAGAGACGCAAAGGAGATACAAACTCAAAGAGACGCAAAGGAGATACAAACTCAGAGAGACACAAATGAGATACAAACTCAAAGAGACACAAAGGAGATACAAACTAAAAGAGACGCAAAGGAGATACAAACTCAAAGAGACGCAAAGGAGATACAAACTCAAAGAGACACAAAGGAGATACAAACTAAAAGAGACACAAAGGAGATACAAACTCAGAGAGACACAAAGGAGATACAAACTCAAAGAGACACAAAGGAGATACAAACTAAAAGAGACACAAAAGAGATACAAACTCAAAGAGACACAAAGGAGATACAAACTCAAAGAGACACAAAGGAGATACAAACTCAAAGAGACACAAAAGAGATACAAACTAAAAGAGACGCAAAGGAGATACAAACTCAGAGAGACACAATGGAGATACAAACTCAAAGAGACGCAAAGGAGATACAAACTCAGAGAGACACAAAAGAGATACAAACTCAGAGAGACACAAAAGAAAACAAACTCAAAGCGACACAAAGGAGATACAAACTCAAAGAGACACAAAGGAGATACAAACTCAGAGAGACACAAAGGAGATACAAACTCAAAGAGACACAAAGGAGATACAAACTCAGAGAGACACAATGGAGATACAAACTCAAAGAGACGCAAAGGAGATACAAACTCAGAGAGACACAAAAGAGATACAAACTCAGAAAGACACAAAGGAGATACAAACTCAAAGAGACGCAAAGGAGATACAAACTCAAAGAGACACAAAGGAGATACAAACTCAGAGAGACACAAAGGAGATACAAACTCAAAGAGACGCAAAGGAGATACAAACTCAAAGAGACGCAAAGGAGATACAAACTAAAAGAGACGCAAAGGAGATACAAACTCAGAGAGACACAATGGAGATACAAACTCAAAGAGACGCAAAGGAGATACAAACTCAGAGAGACACAAAAGAGATACAAACTAAAAGAGACGCAAAGGAGATACAAACTCAGAGAGACACAATGGAGATACAAACTCAAAAGAGACGCAAAGAGATTCAAAAAAGAGACACAAAAGAGATAAAACTCAAAGAGACGCAAAGGAGATACAAACTCAAAGAGACACAAAAAGAGATACAAACTCAAAAGAGACACAAAGGAGATACAAACTCAAAGAGACGCAAAGGAGATACAAACTCAGAGACACAAAAGAGATACAAACTAAAAAAGACACAAAGGAGATACAAACTCAAAAGAGACACAAAGGAGATACAAACTCAAAGAGACACAAAGGAGATACAAACTCAAAGAGACACAAAGGAGATACAAACTCAAAGAGACACAAAGGAGATACAAACTCAAAATAGACACAAAGGAGATACAAACTCAAAGAGACACAAAGGAGATACAAACTCAAAGAGACACAAAGGAGATACAAACTCAGAGAGACACAAAAGAGATACAAACTCAAAGAGACACAAAGGAGATACAAACTCAAAGAGACACAAAGGAGATACAAACTCAAACACAAAGAGATACAAACTAAAAGAGACACAAAGGAGATACAAACTCAAAGAGACACAAAGGAGATACAAACTCAAAGAGACACAAAGGAGATACAAACTCAGAGAGACACAAAAGAGATTCAAACTAAAAGAGACACAAAGGAGATACAAACTAAAAGAGACACAAAGGAGATACAAACTCAAAGAGACACAAAGGAGATACAAACTAAAAGAGACACAAAGGAGATACAAACTCAAAGAGACGCAAAGGAGATACAAACTCAGAGAGACACAAAGGAGATACAAACTCAAAGAGACACAAAGGAGATACAAACTCAGAGAGACACAAATGAGATTCAAACTAAAAGAGACGCAAAGGAGATACAAAAAAAAAGAGAGACACAAAGGAGATACAAACTAAAAAGAGACACAAAGGAGATACAAACTCAAAGAGACACAAAGGAGATACAAACTAAAAGAGACACAAAAGAGATACAAACTAAAAGACACAAAGGAGATACAAACTAAAAGAGACACAAAGGAGATACAAACTAAAAAGAGACACAAAGGAGATACAAACTCAAAGAGACACAAAGGAGATACAAACTAAAAGAGACACAAAGGAGATACAAACTCAAAGAGACACAAAGAGATACAAACTAAAAAAGAGACACAAAGGAGATACAAACTCAAAGAGACACAAAGGAGATACAAACTCAAAAGAGACACAAAGGAGATACAAACTAAGAGAGACACAAAAGGAGATACAAACTCAAAAGAGACACAAAGGAGATACAAACTCAAAGAGACGCAAAGGAGATACAAACTCAGAGAGACACAAAAGAGATACAAACTCAAAGAGACACAAAAAGATACAAACTAAAAGAGACACAAAGGAGATACAAACTCAAAGAGACACAAAAGAGATACAAACTCCAGAGAGACAAAAGGAGATACAAACTAAAAAGAGACACAAAGGAGATAAAACTCAAAGAGACACAAAGGAGATACAAACTAAAAGAGACACAAAGGAGATACAAACTAAAAGAGACGCAAAGGAGATACAAACTCAGAGAGACACAAAGGAGATACAAAACTAAAAGAGACACAAAGGAGATACAAACTCAAAGAGACACAAAGGAGATACAAACTCAAAAGAGACACAAAGGAGATACAAACTCAGAGAGACACAAAGGAGATAAAACTAAAAAGAGACGACAAAGGAGATACAAACTAAAAGAGACACAAAGAGATACAAACTCAAAGAGACACAAAGGAGATACAAACTCAAAGAGACACAAAAGAGATACAAACTAAAAGAGACACAAAGGAGATACAAACTAAAAGAGACACAAAGGAGATACAAACTCAAAGAGACAAAAGGAGATACAAACTCAAAGAGACACAAAAGAGATACAAACTCAAAGAGACACAAAGGAGATACAAACTAAAAGAGACACAAAGGAGATACAAACTCAAAAGAGACACAAAGGAGATACAAACTCAAAAGAGACACAAAGGAGATACAAACTCAAAGAGACACAAAGGAGATACAAACTCAAAGAGACACAAAGGAGATACAAACTAAAAGAGACACAAAAGAGATACAAACTAAAAAGAGACACAAAGGAGATACAAACTAAAAAAGAGACACAAAGGAGATACAAACTCAAAGAGACACAAGGAGATACAAACTCAAAACTAAAAGAGATACAAACTCAGAGACACAAAGGAGATTCAAAGAAAATAGACGCAAAGGAGATACAAACTCAAAAGAGACGCAAAGGAGATACAAACTCAAAGAGACACAAAGGAGATACAAACTCAAAGAGACACAAAAAGAGATACAAACTAAAAGAGACGCAAAGGAGATACAAACTAAAAGAGACAAAAGGAGATACAAACTCAAAGAGACACAAAGGAGATACAAACTCAAAGAGACACAAAAGATACAAATAAAAACTCAAAAGAGACAAACAAAAGAGACGAAAGGAGATACAAACTCAAAGAGACACAAAGGAGATACAAACTCAGAGAGACACAAAAGAGATACAAACTCAAGAGACACAAAAGAGATACAAACTAAAAGAGACACAAAGGGGAGATACAAACTCAAAGAGACACAAAAGAGATACAAACTCAAAAGACAAAAAAGGAGATACAAACTCAAAGAGACACAAAAGAGATACAAACTAAAAAGAGACACAAAGGAGATACAAACTCAGAGAGACACAAAAGAGATACAAACTCAGAGAGACACAAAGGAGATACAAACTCAGAGAGACACAAAGGAGATACAAACTCAGAGAGACACAAAGGAAAACAAACTCAAAGAGACACAAAAGAGATACAAACTCAAAACACAAAAGAAAACAAACTACACAAAGGAGATACAAACTCAGAAATACACAAAGGAGATACAAACTCAAAGAGACACAAAGGAGATACAAACTCAAAGAGGTACAAAGGAGATACAAACTCAGAAAGACACCAAAAAAGAACTTAATTTTTATACTGCATTTTCGAATAAACTTCCTTTATGAAAGATTAGAAAAATTTCAACGACAAACCTTTTCCATTCAATATCTTTTTTTCTTAGATAAATTTTTGTCCAATTTAAATTTAACCTTTATAGTAAAAGGCAGACAACTTTTACTTACTTTAGGCATTGAACATTTCCGAAACAGTAAAGAACTTTTTCTCTTAAATATATTTTCGCAGACATCATTACAAATGAAAAAAAAATAATTTGTTGTTCCAAACCTGTCCTTTTTGTTGTAATTTAATATCCTTACCATTTGACCCTTTTTTATAATTTATGTTTGTGGATGTTGCATGTTTTATTTGCAGCGCAACTTTAAATATTCACGCAGCCTTCCTAGATCCACAACATAAATTAATTAACTAAACATAAACGGGGCGTCTATTTCAGATAAAGGCATCCACTAAAAATAACGTTTGAAGTAATAAAAATATATTTCAAGAGTTAATATTCTAAACGCTGCATTTCGTCGTCCCATTTAAAGAATTTGAAATTTCTTTTTATTTTCAGACGTCAACCACATCCTTTGCAAGAAGTTTGTTAGAATTCTAATAATAGCCTTTTCCTTATAAGGCAACATTCGGCATTCATTGACCGAGTAGCCATGGCTACTTTCGGTTGTAATTTATAAAATCTTTCCTTTAAACCAATTTTTCAGGAAAATAGTTTTCTCATGTCCACTTTTATCTCTCTTTTCAATACTGACGGGGGATTCCTACCTAACCTTTTGCTTGAAGCGGTGTGGAATGTCAACATTTGATTATTTGATTCTTTTCTTTTCGAGTCACGTGTGCCATACATTTCAGTTGTTGCTGCTGTTGGATGTCTTCAAGTGATCAGGGTTTCGTACTGTTTGATGACGAAATGAAAAAAAATATAGTATATTGTAGCTAAATAGTTCCTCAGTCCAACAATGTGTTGTTGGTTCTGTGAAAAATGAACCGGAGGCATTACTTTCGGAACATCTATTCTTATATTACAAAATATTAAATTTACTCGCCCAAAAGAACCAAGGGAGGATAATCGACTAAAAAAGAAAAAAAAAAAAAGAAAAAAGAAGGCGATAGTGAATTTAATCCTACATCGCCAAAGAAATTTAATTTCTGTCGTCTCAAATGGAAAGACTTTTCATTGGGTGATTCTGTTTAGCGAGACATCAACCTCTATGGGTTATTTAATGTCGAAATCTAATTATCTTGAACACAATTTTATGTCTTTTTTTTACATTTAAACAAAATTTATTGAAACAAAACAAGTATAGTTGACCACTGATGATTTTATGGCCTCAACTCGAGATAAATATGTATTCTTGATCATTTAACTATAAAAAAGTCTAATTGTAATTCTACTATGAAATGTATTGTTGCTAGTTTTAGTGTAAGTATATGTTGTTGCTAACTTTGCTATTAATATATAGCGTTGGTGATTTTACTATAAATATATATTGTTGGTATTTTTTGTATAAAAATGTATTGGTAGTAATATAAATAAATATGCTTGTATTTTTACTATAAAAAATTGACTTTTTACACTTCATAGTGTTTTCTTTTTGTTTGGAGGTACATTATTTTCCCGTAGGAGGTTCCACGCTCCTCAAAACCCCCAATCTCCTGATCATATACCTTGTTGTAAGGATATATATATATATATATATATATATATATATATATATATATATATATAAAAAATATATGCTTTTGTATATCCCACACGGGTAAAAATATAGGAAAAATAAGTTGTAAATGCAATTGGAGTTTTTAAGAATATCTATTTAGAGTAACTTCACCGTTTTCGAAGTTCTAAGATTTTCAAAAGTTAAAATGGAATTAAAATTGAAATTGATTGACTTGTGGTTATGCCATGGTATGTCTGACATTTGAGACATATACGAGGCATATAGTGGCATGGCTACACTTTTATCCGTCTGAATTGAACTTTTGAAGATCATATATACATAAGAAGAGAGATTGTGAGAAAGAAAGGCAGAGATTGAAAGAAAGAGGGAAAGAAAGAATGTGTGTATAAGAGAGAGAGACAGAGAGAGAGAGAGAGACACAGAGAGAGAGAGAGAAAGAGAGAGAGAGAGAGGGCATGAGGAAGCAAAAATATTCCGTGTGAGGCAGATTGTAAAATCAAGTGATTTTTAGTCATTGTGTGCTTTTCAGGCCCAGATACATCCCAGCGAGAAGCCAGGCTGTTGGAGATCGTGCTGTGTGTGTGTGTGTTTCATCGAGTTACTATCCATAGATAGACTGCCAATCAAGGCAAAAGAACTTCCATCTGCTCATTGGTTGAGGACGCCTTGTGAATTCGTACTGGCAAAAACCATCGTCGGCTGCCGAACCTGTTTTCCTTACACGTCTTTGGGATCAAACCGTTGTATGGTTTCCAGGGACTTCACAACGCACATTGGGCTCGTCTCCTCAGATAAGCAAGAACCCAAATATCAGAAGAATTAAAAAATAAAAAGAACTAATTGTATACATTCCCTAATTAAGTTAAACTGACTTAAAAGAAAAAAGAAAACATTCTATCTGAAAATTGGTTAGTCTAATAAATTATTTCGAAACAGTTACTTTAAAATGACACTCACTTTTACATGGCAAATCCTCACAACATGCACTTACCTTTCACGAAATTCAGTACAAGGAGAGCCTCTATTTCTTACTCTGAACGCCTTGAAGTTAACCTTATGCTGATAATTAATGTGACTAGATGTAGTGGTAGAGAAAACCGAACCCTGTGATGCCAATTCTTTAAATCAGCATTTGCAGCCCCCCACGCCCAATAAAAGCAAAAACCCATAATGATTCTTCTTAACGAGAAACGAGGCGACATTACAAGAAAAGAAAATGGCGTCTAAGCTGTAAAAAAAGAAGAAAATTCGGATGGTGTCGACTTCAACAACCTTGCATAACCGACTACACGATGCTTTATTTTTATTAGAAGGGTCCCCCACCTTCGGTCCGTATCTGTTCCGAGTCGACCGTTCGCTGCTGGACGAACGCTCTCACGTCGAGAAAGACGCTGAGAAACAGGAAGAGGGTCTACATGCGCCGCTTATTCAGCATATTAAAATAATCGATCATGATTTTAAGTTCCTAATGATTAAAAAGATTATTTAAAGGATGTCAAATCAAACAACTAACAATAAAAAATACATTCTAAACATTCTTTAAGAAATTTAAAATTGTAGCCAAATAACTAAAAACGCATTTTAGTCTTTAAAAAACTTAAATTTATTATTGTTACACGTTGATAACTTTAAACTTGATTTAAAAGATTTTAAGAAGATATTTTGTTAATCCGTGTTGTTTTAGGAAGGGCGTGCGGTGGAAAGGTTAACGGTTCGGAGAGCCGGATAGGCGAACTCAGTTCAAACATAGGGAGTTTCTACTCACTTCGAAATAATGCCTTTGAAAAAGGCATAAATTCAATCTCCCTAGCTATGATTAAATAACTGCCCTTGAAATTTCGATAACGTTATGTTCCTTGTTGTTGGTACCATGTAACGCAGTATAATTTGATGCATGCTACTTTGGGGGGGGGGGTGCAATTAACCTCTTATTTCCCGGAAACAATTTCTCGAAGGGAGATTACTCCGTCTTACAATCTAACGTTCTGATAATTCTTGGGAATCTTTCACGTTCATGTTTTTACCACTTGGCTTTCATTCCCGACCTGTATAAGAAATGAAAACGTTTAACAGATTCTGGACGAGAAAAAAATACACTTGAAAGAGGTCATGGGACAGATTACCAGATCCATTGGAAAGGGGAAAATGTACAATGGCAATAAGGAAGGGGACTTTCCCGCCTCTTACGATAAATAATGGATATTCCTTAAAGTAAATTATCTGATTAATATTCAAATATCTGGATAGGCCAATATATAGAAGAAGAAAAAAAAAACGGATTTGGAAGCCTCACAACTTTTTACAGATAAAAACATTCTCATTTAAATAATTAAAAAAAATGAAATCAAAATCAAAAAGGCTTCGAGTACATAATTCGAAGCTTGTTTTAATTGTTTATGTAATTTTTATTGGAATGTTTCTTTTTGGTTTAATACAACATCTAAAAAGAAGAGAAGAATATTAAGCTCTCGTGAATGTTTAGTCTGAGTAAAAAGGCGCCATTGTTGGCATTCAAAGAGTGTAGTCTAAGGAAACGGCATGGCTTCTTTGATCTTCGTCTTATTTCCGATTCTCGGCTTCATTATTTTGGAAAAAGAACCTGAAAGAGGAAGACGAAGAAAACCTTGTAATTGCTCTTAGCGAAATAATTAAAAGGAGACATTGAATTAAAAAAGATAAAGGTTCGATTCCTCTGTGTGTGTGTGTATAGATTTATTTGGTAATGGCGCCTAATTGATCTGAAACCTTAATTACAAGTTCGTGTCATCTTTATATAAAGGGCGTCGTTTATTTAATGATCCGAATCTTATTCGTCCTTAATTCAAATAAGCGAAGATTCCTTAATGCCTCGCGAAAAGCTACACGGCTTGTAAGAAATGCAGTTTTGCAACACAAGTCTACATTATTCACGACTTCCTAAACTATCAATAGTCTTCTTTCATGTGCTGTGTCCATTCAGGAGGTGATCGATCATGGCTCTCCACAAATTCCTATCCCTCGTGGCTCTCAGCAATGAGCGATTTTTACTATCCGTCCTCTTCCCTGTTCTGTTACCCAGCTCGTTATGTCAGTGACTCGCTGGGTTCCTTTGTCTCTCTTGCCACCATTATATCTTGTAAGTGACAATTTTTCCAAGCCCTCTTTCTTCATTATGTGTCCCAGAAATTTCAGCTTTTTCTTTTGGATTCTAAGTGTGCTACTTGTTTTCATTTTTCTTAAAACTTACTCTTTCCACACATGTTCCGTCCGTGTTATTCTCGGCATTTTTCTATAGAATCAACTTTTTTGTTGTCTCTTCATCTGTGAGGAAATTATCTACCGTGTACTGTCAGATAGGACAACTAATTCAGCATTCTTTTCTTTGTTTCTAATGAAATTTTCCTGTTTTTTAATACTTTTTTAGCTTTTAGAAGACATTTTTGCTAGTCCATTGTGTCTTCGGATTTCGGTGTCACATGCTTTGTTGTTTCCCAGATATTTAAACTTTTTTACTGGATTTATTTTGACATTTCCATTTTCTAACTCTCATCCGGGACCGTTTCTTTTGCTGATAGGTATAGATTCTGTCTTTGTAGAATTGACGTTTAGTGCTTTCTTCCCGCTTTTTTTAAAAAATACATTGTCTAGGATGTCCTGTAGTTTTCTTTCTATTTCTGGCAAAAACACATTGTCACCTACGTCTCTTATATTGTTAAGATTGGGTTCATCAATATTAACTCCTGGTAGGATTTCTAGTTCTCTTAAGATTGCATATACTGGTACTATAGCATAGGAGGGCAAATTTATAGAAAATAGGGGGCGGGGTCATAAGATTGTACTGCACCAATTTCCCAAAAGTTAAATAAATGCTTGCCTGGACAATCTGTGTGAAAATCCATTTTTTTCATGGGCCGAAACAATAATTGCTGGTAGAAGGTATTCAGCTATTTCCGTAACAAGGAAGTGCCGCCGCCGCCGCCTTCTTCTTCTTCTTCTTTTTCTTCTTCATTTCTTCATCATCATCATCATCTTTTCTTTTTCTTCCTTTCTTCTTCTTCTTCTTCTTCTTCTTCTTCTACTACTACTACTACTACTACTATAACGTGTTCATTATTTAAAATACTATTCTGATTATTATTGTTCTTTGTTGTTGTTATTGCTGCAGAAAGCAACTGTGGTGACTGTGGGGGTGGCAGACAGTCACACTAAGTGTTTTCAAGTCGTTGACGCCAGAAAACAGTTACCCTGACCATATAGCGTCGCCTCTAGGCTATTATCTTTGTTGTGACGATATAAACGTTGAATAATCCCCACTAAGCGTGTCCAACTAGTAAAGGACAATTGCAACAGAGGGACTAACAATTAATCTATCTCGCCATTTCAATACAAATACTTATAAACATCAACTCATGGATGCGTCAATGTAAAAATATCTATCTATCTATCTATCTATCTATCTATCTATCTATCTATCTATCTGCGGATAAAAACAGGAGGATGCCCATACATTTTATGTTTTATATTTATTGCACGTGAATACACATGAATTCGCACATAAACGTATGGAAAGAAACAAAGAAGAACGGATATTTAAAATGACTAATTGTAATGAACCCTTCAATAATTCATATATATATATATATATATATATATATATATATATATATATGAATAAAAATGACAATAGGAAAACTGGTGATTGCTGATGCGTTTCGTCCAATTTGGACTTTATCGAAGCAAAAATACGAAAACGTATCTTGCTTTGATAAAGTCCACATTGGACGAGACGCGTCAGCAATTACCAGTTTTCCTATTGTCATTTTTATTCATAAATATTGTCTTCTCTACCGATTAAATCGGAGAAATTTTCACATCATATATATATATATATATATATATATATATATATTTCAATTACTCCATCGGCTCGGATTGAGGAATGGGAGAGGCAAAATTCGAGTTGCAGTCGAATCCGTCTAACGTGCTAATACCCATGCGAAAGGTATGAATCCTCTTCTTCTTCCAGTTATGGGTAAATAGAAAGACAGACTGTTATGCCTGGTTTAGGAGAAGGACAAATCTAAATTCAATACCTGAGGAGGGTCGGTTGGGTGCACCAAAGTTTTGTATCCGGCTTTTCAAAAAGTGAGGTTGATTCTGCACAAAACCTTCACCACGAAAATCAAATCATATCTGCAGGTTGTCTGGCTGTCGGTTTCTAGGAACTGAGTGGCCTGACCCTCATACATCGTAAAAGGGTCCTCAGTAGGCGCGGGTCAACAGCCCTCATCGATGAACTACGGGAGAGTCCACGATATATATATATATATAATTATTTATTCGAAAACTATAACATAAATATGTTATAAAATCACTACAAAAATAGCCATTTTGTTTCAACACTTCTGCTGTCTTCTCAAGTGATGGTGCTAAATGTAGAATAGAGGGTTTTAAAAGGTTCAAATCAATCAAACACCC